CATGCACCATTAGACTCTCAACCTGCTCGGCCGTTACTTCGGCCTAATTCCAGACCATATCCCTCTCACCGATTATTCAGGGTGAGCCCTAGTTTTTAATAATTTTTACGTAAATTGTGTTGCGAAACCCTAAGATGGCACGGAACTTATTTGAATCCTTATCGATATTTGGTTTTGGAATAAGGGTGGATGTGCGGGTGACACGTAGGGAAGTTGCGTACCCCTAGCAGATTGTTCCCTTAGGGCATACCACGGATGCCACGGCTTGGGTATATAACTCCGGGCGTGGGCATCTTTGGTAGTTCTTGAATATTTGACCAAGGGGGGGTTTCCAAATTAACCGTGGCCATGGCTTAGTGGTTGGTAAGAAAATCTCTTAGGTGAGATTTTGAGCGTCACCTAAACTATTAAAACTATATAAAATAATTATAATGGTTGTTACATTTATCGTGCTATTAATTTTTATTATTATTTTAATTATTATGGTTTGATTATTTTCTCTTAAAAAGAATGGTAGGTTGGTTATATTTTTTTACTGTGTTACAAAACTCATGACATGTATTTTGTTGCCCTGGCGTTTCATGCCAGATTATGTCGAAGAAGGGACTGAAGTTGAATTTGGAGGTGCTGCTAATATTGAACCTTGGATAACTTAAAGTCAAGACTTTATCAAAATAAAATTTTATTATCTCTTGTATTAGTATTTAAAAATGTTGTAACGTTGAATGTAAACTTGTAATTTTTATTTTTATTTTTATTTTTGAACTTTGACCATGTGAGAACTTAAATTTTCCTAATTAGATGTTAAACTTTTTATTTAGCAAGTTATTTTGTTATTTAAATTTTATAATGTTCCAAAAATTTGGGGCGTCGCATCTCAGCTAGGCCGAGGTTATCTACGGAGATACCGGAATTCGAGATGAGCGAATAAGGGACAAGAGTCCTAAAATGAAGGAGGACCTCAGTCTGGATAAAGTTATGTTCTTAGGGAGTTTATCTCTATCTGGTTGGGAGTCCAAGATGAGTATTGAGCTAGAGTCCATTGAAGCTAGGCTTCTAGAGGGATTAGGTTAGTGTTGGCTATAAAAGTAAGATATCCTCGTGAGTCTAAGGTATGTTTTTAGATACTCTGTCTAGTGAGTTAAGCACGATTGGTTATCTTTGAGAGATAATTACTGATTTGATCGTCGGAGTGCCCCCGGGTGGACGAACCACCGCTGGTCTCTTATCTTTCTGTGACAGGTTGTTCGGGCTTAATCTATTCTGCCGATGCTCTCCTACTGAGTATTCCTTGTTGGTTGTGTGGTCAAAAATCAACACCCATAGAAAAGGTTTTAAATTTCACAATTACGAGTAAATTGGAAGAGAAGAGGTCTTAGATTTCACTGTTAGGAGTGTAATTGTGTAAAAGAGATATTTGGTTTAGTTTTTGAAAATCATTTTTGAGTTTTTTATTTTCGTGCTTTTTTAACTTTGGTTTTTAGTGAAACATTTTCATATTCTACTTAAATATATTTACTTTTGAGATGTACTTAAAAATTTACAAAGTAAAATATTTGTAAAGAAATATAAAATAAAAAAATTACTAAAGACATTACTTTTCCTTAACAAATTCATAAGTTGTTTTGAATCATGAATTTGAATAGAAATTTAAAAAGTGAAAGAGAAATGGAGAAAAAATTTAATTTCTATTTCATTCACATCCACGTAACGTTATATGACATAATAATATATTATTATGAAAACTTAAACCCAAAATGCAAAAAGGTAGGCTGGGTTTCAAATTTCTTGGACAATTATTTTTCAGCATTTGAAACTAAAAATACTTATGAAAATTTAGAAACAATTTGTTGCGTATTAAAACATATATATATATATATATATAAAGATTATCGGTATAATTTGATCAAAGATAATAAAACAATTCACTCAATTAATCAAAATTAATATAGGAAAGTTCTACTACCATTCCTGTTAGGGCTTATCTTGAAGGACCATCCAACATTATTAATCAACAGAAAATTTGAAATGAAATTGATGTTGTATGAATTTTCTTTATAGATTTTGATACTATACTAATGTAACCTTTCTATGTCTAATTTTAGATGAACGTTGGTTTATAAAGCAAAATGAAAAAATAAAATAAATGTTATAAGAAATCGAAGTAGGGAAAAAATTTAAGATCAAATTGGAGATGGGAGGGTCTGGAATGCTAGGGGTGGCGAGGCAGCAATGGAAGGGGATAAGAGTGATTGGTTGCAATGAGGAGTGGTTGTGATGAGATTGATCCTCAAATCGAACTAATTTTTTACATCCGAGTAAACTCTCGTTAGTGAACAGTGAGATTCGTCTCCCGAATTAGTTGGTTCAATGAGTCGGATACCAAGTTTTAAAAAAAAAAAAAAAAAAAAAAAAAAGTTTATATCCAAGTAAAAACTATAATTAGCAACAATAATTTTTAAGAGAACATTAATGTTAACCACCTTTTAGTACCTTGAAAATAAAAATGAATAAATTACACTCACCTTCCCTAAAATTGGAGAAAAATATAGTTAGTTTACAAGTTTGATATAATTATATTGATCTCTATTTTAGTAAAGTTAAAACAATCAAAACTAATACCGATGGTGGCTTCACTTAAATAAAAAAAAAATTAAAAAAAAAAGATAAATATAAATTTTAGTAAAAAAAGAGAAGAGAATATCATTTCTTCACCCATACCAATAATGAATTACTGATTAAAAAAAATTAAAAAAAAAAGAAAAAAAAGAAAAGAAAGGGGTTTAAGTGTGATGGGAATTAAACTTCAAATGAGAGAAGTGTAATTATGTCAAAAGTCTTACACTAACTATATATATTTTTTCAAATTTAAAAGAGGGCTGCTAAATGCACCTGCATTTCTTCTTAGGACTTCCCACGTTTTTGAACCTCCACCACCAAAATTGCTACCCCCGACCTCTGCGATAATCTCAAATATATCCCTACACTTTTCCACTGAGAGCCCCACCCCTACCAAAATTGCAACCTCTCTCCCTTACCAACAACCCTTCTCCAGCACCCCCTTATTTACTAAAGACCCTCGTTCAGTCCCCCTTCTCCCGATGTAGGAGTGTAAAAATGGTCTGTGACCCGTGGGTGGCCCGAAACCCACTTGCGGTCCGGGGGTGGGCCCGGCCCGTTTAGGCCAGATCCCAAGCCTAGCCCGAGGCCTTAGGCCTGAGCCTGGGTTATCGTTTTGAAGCTCGGCCCGCCCCGTGGCCTGCTCAAGGCCTACTCAAAAGCCCAGCCCGCCCGAGGCCTAGTGTTATTTTTAATGGAAAGTAATAAAATTTTGGTGAAAAAATTTTAAAAAATTATTTAGGCCCGCCCAAGTCCGCGCCAAAGCCCGATCCCAGGCCCAGCGGTCCGGCCCACTAGCCCATCCAAAGCCCGAATACCTTAGGCCTGGGCCTAGTTTTCTAGGCCATGACCCGGCCCAAATTTTGGTGGGAGCCCGCAAGGCCCAACATGGGATGGGCCGGGCCGAGCCCTAGCCTGGATACGCCAAGCCGGGCCAAAATTGCACCGCTACCCCGGTGACTCCCCTCCTCCAACAACCCACTTTGGTTCTATTTTCATTCCATTCCTCTTATCATGATCCTTCACCCAAATTTCTTTTACCCAAATCTCTCATTCCACTAATCTCAATCATTTGCCATCATCGCCTCCCACATATATACCCTAAAGCCCTCTCCCGCCATGCTCATGTTCGATTCCTCTTTATTTGAAATTGTAGCGCCTAGTTTGGAAAAGCAATACCAAACAAACAATGGAGGATTGCGTGTGAATCACCGAACAAATGTGGTGGTTCAGACCAAGAATGCCAAACTGAATTTGGGGAGATCACAAGTAGTGTTGCAATCTTAATGATCGCACAAAGATTGTGTATCATCACCATCACTGACTTTTTGTGGTTTTTGTGGTTGAGAGAGAAACAGAGGGTGACATTTTGTGGTTGAGAGAGAGAGAGAGAGAGAGAGAGAGAGAGAGAGAGAGAGAATATGCATGCGTGTAAGTATGTGTGTGTTTGTACGTGACATCGCAGTGGGTGGAGATGGGAATGAAGGTCGTGGTGGTGGGTGGAGATGAACTAAGATGGGTCAATGAAACTTGAAAGGTGGTAGAAAATGATGTAAAAGTGACATGGGCAGTGGCGCTATTGGCGGTTGGTGAATGTGGGTGAGGATTATAGTGACTGGAGGTAGTGCTGGTAATGACAGCATAAGTTGTCAGCCACAGTTGAGGTGAAATGGGTTAGGGTTAGATTTAAGATTGTAAAATTAGGGTGTGAATAAATTTGTAATTTGCTATTTGGATAAAATTATAATTAAAGAAATGGTGTCCTAGGAAGAAATGAGGCATTTAGCAACACTAAGGAGGTTAGTGTAATTCACCCCATAAATTTTGGGGGACTTATGTGTAGGTCTTAATAAGTGGACTTATTATCTCATAGATCCTATGATAATTAATGATATTTTTCATTAAATATTATTAAAAAATGTCATTAATTGTTAATTTTTAGCAACAATACAAAAATTGTCACAAAATTTGTAACTAATTATAAGTTTTAACAACAGTTTAAAAAAATCGTCACAAAAAAGTGTCATTAATTCACAATTTTTAGCGACAATTTGAAAAATTCGTCATAGAAAAATATCACTAATTATAAGTTTTAGCGACAATTTATAAAAATCATGACAACAAAAAGTCGCTAATTGTCAATTTTTAGCGACATATGTAAAAAATTGTTATAAAAAAATTATTTTTAACGACAATTTTACCAAGGCTTATTTTCAATAAGACTTGATAGAAATTAAGTCTAACTATTAGAATCTATTGATAGTTTATCCTAAATTTTGTTCATGCACGACTTGTTTAATTTTAAATTAATTTTAAAAAATAAATAAAAACATACTGTAGAAAGGTTAAATAGCCTCCAAACAGACCCTTTCTTACAATTTTCCCTCCAAATAAAGAACCTTTTTTTGTGTTTGACGGACCCCCCCTCTCTACCGAAGCAAAATCCCTTATTTTTCTTTGAAACTGCCACACAAACTCATCTTCTTCTCGTGGGTTTACTCAGCTGTAAATGTTGAATGCTTCACTGTTAAGCAAAAATGTCAATCTGAGTCAGACTCTAATCGCATTGCTTGACAAATGCAAGTCAATCTCTCACCTCAAGCAAATTCATGCTCTGGTGATCGCCTTTGGCCTCACCCAAGACGACCCATTTGCTTCAAGAATTCTGTCTTTCGCTGCGACCTTTGATTCTGCTGACATTGCCTACTCTCATCGGATTTTTCGACATCTCCACAATCCAACAATCTTCAACTGGAATACAATCATAAGGGGTTACTCAAAAACCAAAAAACCAATCAAATCGATATCAATTTTCGTCGAAATGTTGCGAATTGGGATCTCACCGGACTATCTCACATACCCATTTCTTGCTAAGGCATCTGCGCGACTGTCGGATCTTAATCTTGGAGTGGCTATCCATGGCCGCATTGCGAAAACTGGTTTGGAATCTGATAGGTTTGTTCAGAATTCTTTGATTCATATGTATGCTTCGGGTGGGAATATAGTGTGTGCACGCAAAGTGTTTGATGAAATGCCCAATAAGAATTTGGTTTCTTGGAATGCAATGTTGGATGGGTATGCAAAGTGTGGGGATATAAGTTTGGCCTGGGAAGTGTTTGAATTAATGCCGGAGAGAGATGTGGTGTCATGGAGCTCTTTGATTGACGGGTATGTCAAGGACGGGCAATATGGTGAGGCATTGGCAATTTTCGAAAGAATGCGAGTCGTCGGGCCCAAGGCCAATGAGGTGACCATGGTAAGTGTTTTGTGTGCTTGTGCACATTTAGGTGCTCTTGAGCATGGGAGGACGATGCATCGTTACATGATCAACAATGCCTTGTCATTAACTCTTGTGTTGCGTACCTCACTTGTGGACATGTACGCCAAATCCGGAGCAATAGAGGAGGCTCTAGTTGTTTTTCGTGGGGTTTCCATGGATCAAACTGATGTGTTAATTTGGAATGCAATGATTGGAGGACTTGCCACTCACGGGTTTGTGTTTGAATCACTTGATATGTTTACAGAAATGCAGATTGTGGGGATCACTCCTGACGAAATCACGTACTTGTGCTTGTTAAGTGCTTGTGCTCATGGAGGGTTAGTGAAGGAAGCTTGGTTTTTCTTCGAGTCTCTTAATAAGCATGGCATGACACCTAAAAGCGAGCATTACGCTTGTATGGTGGATGTTCTAGCTCGTGCAGGTCAATTAACCGAGGCATACCAATTCTTGAGTCAAATACCAATGAAACCAACAGCTTCAATGTTAGGTGCATTGTTTAACGGGTGTATGAGCCATAGAAAATTAGACCTCGCGGAAATAGTGGGGAGGAAGCTCATTGAGTTGGAGCCGCAACACGATGGTAGATATATCGGTTTATCAAATGCTTATGCGGTGATCATGTGTTGGGACGAAGCAAGAATGATGAGAGAAGACATGGAAAGGAGAGGGGTGAAGAAGTCCCCTGGTTTTAGCTTTGTTGAGGTATGTGGAATTCTTCACAGATTCATAGCGCATGATAAAACTCATCAAGAATCAGAACAAATCTATATGATGTTAACCATTGTTGTAGAACAAATGAAATTTGATGCTGATTTTGAAACTGTAGAACAAGAGTTATATGGTAATGGAGTTTTGTGACTCACATTCATCCACTATAGTGCTGTGATTATGCTCGAAATTTACATTACTTGTGTCCTAGGAGGTTTTCTTTATGCTGTAAGAAATTTTGATCTTAGATGAGTTTTAAGGAATTAGATGGGAGTGTTTTAATACATATTTTACAATTTGATTTTTCTAAATATATTTTTTAAGAGAAATCGATATGATACATGTATGACATGACACATGATACGATATATATTATATATGAATACTTAAATTCTTTAGCAATTTTGAAAAAAGCAATCGTACTTATCTATGGTAAATCTTTATTGTTAAAAATTTTCATTAACATATTAGAAAGGATATTTTTTTCAAATGAAAATAGTACTTTTTTTTTCTTTTCTCTATTTTTTAACAAATATCTACTTATTTAGTCTTAAGTATCTTGCAGTTGATTTATGGCTACTTACACAGATTAATGTTTTGAGTTTTCTATTATGAACAAGTTCTTGATCATATATCAGAAGTGGGATATTAGTTATTTCTTTTATTCTATTTCTATTTTGAGGAGATGTATTGTGGTTAATAATTTGTTTGGAGATTATAAATTGATTAGTAAATCATTAGTATGTTAAGGTATTGTAGTTATTAATTTCTTTTATTCTAGTTTGTATTTCTTTTATTATTTTTCCACTTTTTTTTGTTAAAAGATATTCAGATTTGTTAATTATTTATCTTAGCAGTTTAGGTTTTTGTCTGCAAACAAGTCAAGTAGTAGGTTATTCAAATACGAGTTAAGCTCAATCAAAAAAAATAATTTAAGTAGATACACTACAAGAAAACTGGACTTAAGAGACGGAACTTTTGCCGTCGCAAAAAATGACTTTTTGCGACGACACAACTTGTCATCGCAAAAAATAAAGTATTTGTGACGGCATAAAATGCTGACGCAAAAAAAAAAAAAAGAGTATTTGCGACGGTAGAGATTGTTGTCGCAAAAAAAAATAGACTTTTTGTGACGGTACAAGCTGCAGTCGCAAAAAAAAAAAAAAGAAAAAAAGAAAATTGCGACTTTAATAGGTACCGTTGCAATAAATAAATAAATAAATATATATATTGCGGCTTTGAGACGGCTTCATATATATATAGTCACAAAATGGTTTAAATAAATGCAACGGTATTTTTCTATCACAAATTTTTTTTTATAAAAAAAACGACGTCGTCTTACTATTTTGAACATTTATCTTTTCACCCATTTTTTCATCTTCCTATCTCTCTGTCTATGTCTCTCTTCTCTTTCTTTCTCTTACTCATCACTCTTCTCTGTCTGTCTGTGTCTCCCTTTCTCTATGTGTCTCTGTCTCTCTTCTCTCTCTCACTCATCACTCTTCTCTGTCTATTCGTCTCTCTCTTTCTCTCTATGTCTCTGTCTCTCTTCTCTTTCTCTCTCTCACTCATCACTCTTCTCTGTCTGTCTGCCTGTCTCTTTTTCTCTGTGTCTCTCGTCCATCTCTATTCTCTCTATCTCTTCCATCTATCTTCTCTCTCTGTCTCTCTTCTTTTTTTCTCTATCGCTCTCTCGCTTATCTCTTTCTGTCTCTCTCTCGTTTATCTCTTTTCGCTCTTTTTTTTCTCTCTCTCTCTGTCTCTCTCTTTGTCTATATCTTTTCACCCATTTTTTCATCTTCCTCTCTCTTTTTTCTTTCTCTCTCTTTTCTTTCTCTCTCTTATTCATCACTCTTCTCTCTCTGTCTGTCTATTTGTCTCTCTCTCTCTCTCTCATTCATCTATCTCTTCTCTCATCTCTCTTCTCTCTTTGTCTCTTTCGCTCATCTATCTTCTCTCTATCTCTCTCACCTATCTCTCTTCTCTCTATTTCTCTCACCTCTCTCTCGCTCATCTCTCTTCTCTCTGTCTCTCTCGTTCATCTATTTTCTCTCTATGTCTCTCTCGCTCATCTCTCTTCTCTCTATCTCTCTCGTTCATCTCTCTTCTCTTTCTGTCTCTTTTTCTGTCTTTCACTCTATCTCTTTCTTTTTTTCTCTCTTTTTTCTCTCTCTCTCTCTCTCTCCCCCACTGTGTTCGCGTTGCTCACTCTCTCCCTTCCGTCTTCTCTATTTACTGATCTCCCTCTCGATTTATCGATCCACTACAAGAAAATGCACTTTTAGCGACCACTTTAGCGAAATAATAAATTGTTCAAATTTGACTTAAAAATTTAATGACTTTTAAAATACGTTTGTATAACAAGTTAATTTCAAACAAAATTTTAACAAGTCGAGTTTGAATAGTTTGACTCGTTTTGCTATGCCACTTTAGTTTTTAGTTCTGATTTTGTGATGTTGGATGATTTATCTGTTTCATTGTAGCTATATGTAATACATTAGCATCTTATCATATTTTTTATTTTAAGCATTATTAAGCCCATTTGGTATCACATATAAATTAGCTTTTATCATTATAACTTGTGAGATCATTAGTTTAAAAGAATTAAAATAAATTATAAATAAGTTTGTTGCAACTTTTTATAATCTGTAAGAGAAATTGAACCAATAATAAATTATTGCATAACTTTTTTGTTACATAAATATCTAGAATGCCTTCAAAAATTATAATTAAAACAAAATTGAAGTCACAATTTTTTTGGAGTCACGAACGCATCAGCTGCATTTATGGACCTCATGAACAGAATTTTTAAACCATACATTGACAATTTTATTGTTGTATTTATTGATGACATATTGATTTATTCCAAGAATATAGAAGAACATGAACATCATCTGAGACTTGCCCTACAAACCTTAAGAGAACAGAAACTGTACGCTAAACTGTCTAAATGTGAATTTTGGCTTAACCATGTTATGTTTTTGGGGCATGTTGTTAGCAAAGATGGAATTTCTGTTGATCCGCAGAAAATTGAGGCTGTAGTGAACTGGCCTAGACCGACAAACGTGACTGAAGTCCGAAGCTTTTTGGGTTTGGCTGGATATTACAGAAGATTTGTTAGAGATTTCTCCAAAATTGCTTTACCGTTGACTCAACTGACTCAGAAGGGGATATCATTTGACTGGACTGATCAAATAGAATCTGCTTTTCAGGAGTTGAAAACTCGATTAGTGACTGCATTTATTCTGACTTTACCTTCAGGTACGGATGGTTATATCGTCTTTAGTGATGCTTCTCATAAGGGTTTGGGATGTGTTTTAATACAGAATGGGAGAGTAATTGCCTATGCTTCCCGACAACTGAGACCGCATGAAAAGAACTACCCGACCCATGATCTGGAACTTGCTGCAGTAGTATTTGCACTGAAAATCTGGCGTCACTATCTGTACGGGGTGACATGTGAAGTATACACCGACCACAAGACCACTCACAATACGAACACTACCCCTATACAACCAATGGGGTCACCACGGACTCGCCAGAAAATTTGAAGGCGGCCTTAATGTTGCAATTCTTGACCAAATAAATGTGTTGAAACTACCGACTTTTGTGGGTGTTCTCGACCGGGCATTGATGGCCGAGTCG